CGATCTTGAAATAAAACTGAACTCATTATTTATTAAACATAATAAAATGAGCAAAAAAGAAATTAAAAACTTACAGTTAGAACCCTTGTCAATAATCTCAGCTACCTGTCCAAAAGTGATGCATGGACACCACAATGTTATGCAACCTGATCAAATAAAACCAAACAAAAAATGAGAAAAAAAATACATTTTTTTTTAGTTCATTAGCAATAATAGTAATATTTGGTCCTTTAATTGTTAGTAAATATAATTTTTAATTAACTGACATGTATGTTTTTGGTCATTTTATGGAGGAAGTATGTTACATTTGAATAAAATTAAAAGCAATATTATTTCCTTCATTTCAATTTATATGATACTTTTTAGTATCTGAGAGTATTTGACTAATCTTTGAATCTAAATTAAATAACATCAATTCGAATGTTAAAAATCATTAAAAAAATAAATATAAGTTGCAATAACATCAATGCTAAACGTAATAAAGCAGTGGAACCACAAATTTTATGATAAATTTGTGAATATTGATATGCATATCACAAAGACTAGAATTAAAATCTTACAAATAATTGAGAGTAAAAGAAATAAAAAATTCAATTGACAAGAAAAAAAAAAAGTACTCTATGTCCCAATTTATTTTATACACCTTCTCTTTTAGTCAATTATAAAAAGATGATTTATAACAACACCAATTTAGATCACCAATCTGTATTTTTTCCCTTAAAATTCCATATTAAATCAAATAATGTTACATAATTAATCGCGATAGAGTAGTATTTTCACAAATGATATGAAAGGAAGACTTACAATTCTTGGGATCAGACATACAATCACATAGTCCAGTTGACCATGGAACATCATTTTTCTTTTTTCTATACATAGCGGGTTGTGGATCCATCGTCTCTACGTAAAACGGAGTTTTCGAGCTCCTCATAACGTTAATCGGTGACGGAGTTTCGTCACCGAATGACGAAAATTTCTGGTATCGATCACTTAATGAACTTGTTGAAGATTTCATGATAACTGATTGATGAAGAGAAAAAAAAAAAGATGAAGGGATGAGCTAAGTTCTTGAATTAGATAATGTGATGATATTTTACAAGACTTTTGACTTAATATATAATATGATAGAGAAAATGATAAGATTGGTCCTCTTATGTTTGAGGGTAGATCTAAAAAAATATTCTGAATAGTTTTTATTTTTTATTTATCAAAAATTAATAACTTTTGACTATGTCAATTTTTTAATAAATTTTGTCAGTTAGAAGTATGAAAAAAAATTAATTTAGTCACATTTGGAGAAACAACTTTAATTGTTTTTAATCTCCTTTTAGAGTTTGGTGTAATTTTTTGATTTAATTTTTACTTATTATTTTAATATATCTATCTATTTTTTTCCACTCACCATTCTGTATCCACACTGGAGCCTCACTATTTTTCAAATTCAAGACCTCTAATTATTGGAAGAGCAGTCTCATTCATTAAATTTCATACTTCGATGATTTTTTATCTCTTTTTTTATGTCTAGTACTATAGCTTTTTGTGTTACAATTTTAAAGATTTAATGAGATTTTTTATAATTATATTTTTTCATAATTTTCGTCAAATCTATTATATATTTAACTAAGATTAAGAATATCAATTTTTGTCACACACAAAAAAAATCAAACCTGTCCAAAGTACACTTTAAGACTATTTTAAATGTATCCAAAAATAAAAGGACCATTCATTTTAATTTAATATGATAAAGCCAAATAGAGATGGGGTCCAATAAATAATAAATAATTGGTCTTGTGAGTCAACTTTGACGATTCAAAGTTATGGCTAAGAAACTTCATATTCCGTGTGTTTTAAGATTTTAGTCTGATTTTTCTTAATTATAATCCTTCATTTCAAATTATTTATCGTATCACTCTGATACATTTTTTAAGAAAATATTAGTTTAAAATTATTTTATTATAACATCTTAATATATAATTATTTTTTATTAAATATTGTGTCATTTCACTATAATTAAGATATTTATAATCTTCAAGAATAATTATTGTTATTAATAATGATTTTGTTTTTAAAAGTTAATTTTATCTTGAATGTTTAAAAAACAAATAATTTGATATATTTACTTTTCAAAATGGATTACGACATATAATTTTAATAAGAGAATATTCTTAAGGGTCAAGATTGGAAGTTTGTGTTTGACTTAGTCATCACTTATGTGTTAGCTTCCTATATGACTTAATTTTTTTGTGATTTATCATTATCTACTGTTCGTATTAATTTTGATATTCGATTAATTTAAATTGATATACAAAATCTCATTAGAAGTAAAACATTTTCTATTAAAGGCAATTTCGTTACTAAGTTATTAGGGTAGTTTGGCAATATAATAATTTCAACAAATTTTACATCATTAGTCAATACAAGGTTGGTCATAATAAAAGAAAGTAAATTGCCGTATAGTTTAATATAATAGACTTTGAGAATTAATTAATTCCATAGACTTTAATTCTGCAACACCCTCAATCTAAGTTATGTGGTAAGGTTCGTTTAGTAGCTTATTAGAGTTAGATATTTATTAATAATATAGAGATTAATTATGAGAATTTATATATTATTTTTAAATGAGGATTAATTATGTAAATTTTAGCTACTCGTTTTATAAAGAATTTGTACAATATAATTAATGAATAACTAGTTAGAAAAAAAAAGAATGTCAAGTAGATATTTTTGGAAGCTTGATGATGATATACTATATTCCCTCTATTTTTATTATTTCTGTATTTTTTGATAGAGACGGGAATGACTACGTTGCCTAGACTAGTCTCCTCTTGTAATAACTCTTAAATATGTTTATTAAATAAATTTATCGAAACATTATATAAATAAACAATTTAGCATTTCATAATCTCTAAAATTTCCTACCATTTTAAAAAATTATAAAAATCTCTTGGATCCCCTCTCGGATACATCCCTCCCATTAAGTAATGTATCATTTCCAATAAATCGGATAACCAAAGAATGTATCCAAGAGGCAAGAGCAATGAAAAATTCAAGATTTTTATAATTGGAAAAACTTCCGGAATAGAATGTAATTAGTCCCCGTATGGGGAAAAAATAAGCTAGAAACTGAATTGGGCTTGTTTGGAATGGACTGCTGCTGCTGAACCTAGATTCAATTGGGCCAATCATGGACCAAGAAAAGAGAAACTTACGGCCCAATGCTTCTGGGCCATCTAGTTTACTACTTTATCTGTTTCAATTTAGAGAAAATTGTATGAAATAACAAACTATTAATTTAAAATAAATGCTATAAGCACAATTTCATTTAATTCTATTTCGTAGCAAAAACTTTGTCATTCGTCTCTCTCCCCAGAAATCTTGATCGCCACTCTCTAGAAATCTCGCTCGCTACTCTTATTCGCTTCTCCCACTTTATACAAACACAAATGTATAAATTGTGTTTGTGCTTGTATAAAACGAGAGAAAATTGTACATACAAATACATATCTCTTCGTCCTATACACTTATAATTATACAATACAAATCTTCCACTGCCACTTCTCTTTTGTCTTTCTCTCTTTCTCGCTTTGTACAAACACAAATTATACAAAATACAATGTATAATTTGTGTTTGTATAAAGCGAGAGAGAGATTTGTCTACAAATCTATCTGTATACAAAAATACAATTACATATACATACATATACAAATTTATATTTAAATACATATAATACACATATACATATACGACTGAAAATCGCAACAAAAGAACATATACTTATACAACTTACAGCCAAGTCGGTTTCTTATTTGTATACAAATTCCAAATATATACCTTTACAATTGGAATGATTACTGAAATATATAGATTAATAGCTCCATAGCGAACATAAAACTTGTTATGGAGCACAATTATGCAAACTATAGCTATAACATACAAATATAATTTTTATGTTTGTTAAACCTAAAATTTACTATTCAATTTATGCATCACAATTCAGATTAAGAGAGTTTTGGTTATGAAATAAATATGATCAAAGATACAAATTGTTCAAATGATTCAAGATACAAAATATACTTTGGAAAGCATGCATAAATATTCAGGAATAAAGATCTATGGTAATTTAAATAGTTTCTTGGGATTGAGTTTTCAAGAAGTTACTAAAGCTATATCAATGCATAAAAAAAGAAAGCACCATGAATTTGAAATTGGCAACAATTAAGTTTGATCACCATTTTAATACTTGTATGACAAACAATTTGTTATCAAAATCATTATCAAAGATTGATAGGGTTCGAGTCATGGTTATTGAAAAAATTCTTCATAGAGAACGCTTCCTCCCTAAAACTAAACCCTACACAATGCGAATTCAAAATAATCGGATGCAAATAAAAAAACAAACTATATCTCAATAAGTTATGTAGATGCAAATACAGGAGTTTGGGTAGTACAATGAAAGAGATGTTTGGTTTGCTAATAGATAAACACAAAATTATGTATTAATTGTGACCTTATTTAATCTTTTATTGGTAGGATTTTTATGCTATGTATTATACACTTTACCAAACAATCCCTTAATAAATCAATGGCTAAGCGAATAGCTTAACACAACTAATTTCAACATTACTAATATATTTTATTAAGTACTATTATTATACACTCTATCAAACGAACCCAATAACAAGCATTACTCAAACACAACACTCATATATTTGGTCTCCATATTGAGGGATAAAGAATATATTCATTTATCCTAAGTTGAGGGATAAAAGTGTTCACTCTACATATAAATAAGAGAACTAAAAAGAGAGTATCTTTTTTTCCATTTTATTTTCTTTATATCCTTTTACCAATGAGAAGTCCCACTTTTGAATAAAACATATAAAAAGCCTTTGGACAGCTTTGCTTTTTTAAAACTATTAGCCAATACAATTAAAAAAGTAAAAAGTAAAATATAAAATATTTTTTTAAAAAAGGAATATAAAACAGAATAATACAGAACTTTTTTTAAAAATAAAAGCCCTCAATTTGGATTTACATTGGCCCAATTACAACATAACAATCGCTCACCAGTCACACAATTCTTCCTACAAATGTAATTAAACAAAACTACAGGGACTAAACATTAAATTCAAACAGATAAAAAGAGAAAACAACAGTTAGCATATTTTGCCATACAAGTCCCTAAACTAATTTGTCTTTCTTCAATTAAGCCCCTACAGTTGCAGCTACCGGAGTTTTCACCTTCGGCGGCCTTCCTCTTCCTCTCGGAGTACCAATTGGCTTCACCGGCACCTCCACCACCCCAACAGCCACCGGATTGTCCTCCGTCATCGGATACTTCCTTGGCCTTCCACGTTTCTTCCCACTTCCACCAGAACTACTTTCAGTCGCCGTCTTCTTCATAGGTACCGTAATCGGTGCGTATGGAGCACGCTCCTTCGGTGGCCTTCCACGTGGTCTAGGATACCCATCCGGAACCGGAACCGAAGCTTTCGGCTTCGGCGGACGGCCTCTCCCACGGCGCGGCGGCGCGTTTGGGTTTGGCTTCATGTAGTTATTCTTCAACATAACTAACTGCCCAGCTTGCTTCATTTGGTTCAAGTGATGTGCAAGGAGTGTACCATGCGCTGGTGGTAGTGTACCATGAGTCCCTTCAATTTGCCTCCATATTGCTGATTTATTCGATCCTTCTTCTTCATTCAACGCATCTATAGCTTCCATTATCATCTACAAACAAAAATTACCAAAAATGTCAAAATTTTTTTTACCAAAACTAGCAAAAAAAATTTGAAGAAATTGTTACTTACATCAGGATAAGAAGGCAAAGTTGAACTTGCTTCTTCAGTAGCCATTTTTGTTACAGAGAAAAGCAAAATCTGAGAAAAAATGGGAGTGGAAGAAGAGGATTTAAATGGATGAGATCAACATTGGGAGATTGATCGTACAGTTGGGGATTCATTTCAGGCGTATAAATGGACGGTTTAGATTTAATTTGAGAAGAAAGGAAAATAAGTTCACGCGGATTGATGACATGGCTGTGTTTGTCGTTATACATATAAATTACTATTATTTCACAACTGACTATTCCACATATTAGTCCGACTTTAACATGAGTATCGAGCATCGGATCGAAAAAAAAAACTTATAAATATAATGGTTTAGTTGAAATTTGAAATTATTGGATTTATCTAAACACATAAAAATAGAACGATAGGTCTACTCTTTTACATACTAGAGGTCTTTTCTAAAATTTCAATTCGAGAATTCTTATAGTTTTTTAAGTTAATGAATTTATGATATTGTTTATATTTTATTTATATGATATTTTTTTTATTTTTGTTTATTAAAGAGTAATAAATCTTTTATATTTAGAAAGGGATAAATTTAAATTATTTATCTTTAATGACATAATTTTTTGAATAATTAATAGTAATTCTATTATCTATATTAAGACAAACAATTATAATAGTAATAATATTGTTTCTTAATCTGAAGAGAAAATGGTGAGGGAACATGATATATTTGTGTCCTATCAGACAGCAGATTTTCAGTTACATGAGAATGCGGAAATGTGGGGCCCACATGTTTCGAAAAATGAATTAATTGGACCGCCCAAAAGTTGGGAAACCGGTCCCACTAAGAGTTTTGAATTTTGTACAACTAATATTTCACTAAAAAAATATTTTAATTTTCTCAAAACTTGAAAAAGTTTTTTAAGTAAATATTTTGCACAAGGCCTTAACATGAATTTTCAAATATAATGATCTAAAAATTTGAAGGCATTAATGTATATTTTTCACTTTCGCTAGATAAAAAGAATATATGTGAGTCAGTTTGAAGACAAGTTATGATGAAACTAATTATGATGGATTAATTATCATGTATTATTTCTTAGTGAATGTTTGATTTGTTATATTAAAAATAATATGAATTGTATAATTTCTAAAAATAAGCTATTTGTTGACAAAAATAATCTTCATAAGTGTAAAATGTGTTCAAAGTAACGTATATAAAGGATTTGACGGAGTATTTTTGTCATTTTAACTATTTTATTAGGGAAAATTAGCAATTAAATCATAATATCTAACATAATTAGTCAAAACAACAACACTTTAAAATATTTATTTAAAATATCAGAATGACAATATTTTAGAAATAATATGTATTCAGATTTTATTAGTTAAATTAATTTTATTTATGAAAATAGACCTATATTGGACCAAATTCTAAACCAATAACCGTTTAAAAAGAAAAAAAAAACATTAAGCCAATACCCATTAACCTTCCTTCTTCACCTTCACATTTCTACCCTCACCTTTCACGTTTCTACCTCCACCTTTCACGTTTCCAAAATCTCTTTCTTCAAGGTGCTCACAAATTGTTCATCAAATATATTTTTTAATTCAAGAATTTTTCTCGATTGTTAAACGAAATCTCTTTATTAATTCAAGAGATTTCTCGATTGGCAAGGTAATTTCCATTATTTATTTAGATTTATTTTGATTTGCTGTTTAAAATCACTGATTATGGAATATTTCGGATTTCCAGTCAAATTTTTTTATTTTTATGTGATTTTGTTTAGATATTCATCAAGTATTTATGTATTTCAGATTTTTATTCTTGTAAACAATATTTTTCAATTTTTATGTATTCATCCTAATTGCATATGTAAAACAAAGTTTTTATCTTATTTTGTTTTTACAATATCACTTTGTATATCAAATAGTTTGTATTTAGATTTAATTTTGTATTTGTCCTAATGATATACCATCAAGTTTTGTATTTATATTTGATTTCGTATTCATTCTCAAGTCTAAATAACCAAAATATAGTTTATTTATTTTATATAGGTATTCATCCTAATTGCATCAATAAAACATATTTTGTATTTTATTTTGCTCATTTTGTATGTTCAATATCACTTTGTATACCAAATAATTTGTATTTAGATTTGATTTGTATTCATTTTCAATTCTAAATAACCAAAATACAATTTATTTACGTATTCATACTATTTGCATTAGTAAATAGATTTGTATTTTATTTGGCTCATTTTGTATTTTCAATATCACTCGCAATTTATATTTCAATTACATTTTAAAATAATGACACATTATTTGGCTCATTTTGTATTTTCAATATCACTCGCAATTTATATTTCAACTACATTTTAAAATAATGACACATAAAATCATATTTAAAGAAGTCCATCGGAATACATTTAAGATAAAATCATATTTAAAAAATTTCAAACAAGTAAGGATAGAAAACTAAGGAAAATATTTCTACCTTTTTTGAAATATTTTTTCTCCCATGATTCTCTTCCTTCTGTTATTAAAAATTTGTACTCTTTCAAATTAAATAAATACAGTCAGCATTATAACAAACCAAAATATTGACATTTTCAATAAATATTGAAAGTGTTGACAAGGAGTCCTATTAGATTTTAAAATATTGATGTTCTGAAAAATTTCCCTTATTATTATCCTGAAATAAGGTATCCCAAACTTCATAATCATTCAACTGATCAACGAGTGCTAAATATTTATCCCAAAATTATCTTCTTTTATCCGTTACACCAAATATATCCTAAGCATCTCCTTCAATCTAAGCTTTGTTCGGCAAAATTACTCATTTTTATAGTCAAGATTATTCCATCTTTGATATGATATACAAGTATATACAACAGCCATTGGAACCAAAATATGACAAAGTTGACATCTTTTCGTAAAGATATAATATATAAATATGCCTTCTAATTTGACCTCAACTTACATTTATGTTCTCCAACTTTGTGTGTGCACAAGTAAACACTTAAATTTGCATAAAATTAAACAAATAGTCACACATGTCTGACGTGACAATATTCATCCTACATGGTGTCCAATGTATATCATGCCACGTAAAACTCATGTCTACTTCTTCAATTTTATAAAAGTTAAGTTGTTTACTTGTGCACACCTAAAGTTAGAGGGTATAATTATAAAACGAGGCCAAATTAAAGGACACATTTATATATTGTGCCACGTAGTTTTATATCCTGAGAGTAACTGCATACACTTCTTTTACATGTTAACTGTCACTAAGATTCATCATACTCATTGATCTCTATTTGTAACCAATTTACATGCTACAAAAATTGAATGTATACACAAAAAGAATAAGAAAAAATCTCCCAACAACAACGCGCCTAATCTCTCACAGGACGTTTTCCATGAGGGTCCGATCTCCGTCTTGTAGGTGTGGATGAACTTGCAGTTGCACTAACAGTGTTGCTAATAGACGAGGAGCTGAATGTAGAAGGATTGGATGCACCCGAGGTTCCAGCTGTATGAGACGTACCACCACCTGGTCTGTGAGATCTAATTCTTGAACCGGGATATCCAGGTCTAGTTGGTTCTCTATCAAGAGATCCAGGATTCTTTGATAGCATCACCACGACCTGTTGCATGGTTGGACGTAGTGGTGGATCCGCTTGAATGCATAATAAGCCAATTTGTATGTACATTGCTATCTCATCGGGGATAGCCGATTGTGCCAGTGCAGGGTCCATAATCTCCCAGCTCCGACCCTTCTTGTAAAGCCTGTACGCCTACAACCATAACAACATTTAATCATGATCACCATCTGGTACAAAGTTAGGCTAACCCCGCTCAAAGACACTTTAAACATGGTTTAATACTGTTGTTTCGGGCCAAGCATGCACGTTTTTACCCCACACACCGTAAGACCATCCCAACACCTTATATATAGCTATTTTTCTACTTCGACTACCAATATGAGACTTTGTTCGCATCTCCACAAATATTCTCTCGAATCACGATTCACCCGAGAACGACACACTCCCCGGACCTAGTACCGTGTGGTCAATCACCAAGACTGATAGTGTTTTTCTTGTGCATTTACCACGACTAGCAGCAAACTCACTCAATGCCTTCATCTCCATACTCAACCCGTCAAATAATTGGCTCTACTATCTGCTTATAGGCTAAGTCGGCCTAGAAAATACCTTTACATGGTGTGCTACTATCCACTTAGGGTCACAGCCACAAAAGTTTTCTCCAAAAGGCCTCACACCATCAAGAGTATCCCTATACCTTAAATGTAAAGTCCTTCTCCCTCCACCTACCGATTTGATTATGTTTTGCACTATAACATAGACAAAAGTAGTTCGATCTTACTTTTCAAGTAGTTAAAAAATTCTACCATATGGCTATATTGTTTTTTCTGTTACATGATTATAGGAAGCTCGAATTGATTCCGAGGACTCTCCTATTATACTCAACAGGAACGAAGGCATTGACCGGTGCTTATTTTTGTAATTCAGAAATTTCAAGGAATATCAAGACTGAAAAGCGCAGAGAAATCAAGTTCTTACCCATTCAAGAAGGCTTCGAGAATCAGGATCTCTGTTAAAGGTTGAATTCTTCTGGCCACTTATGAGCTCCAGAACTACAACTCCGAAACTGAATACATCAGCCTTAACAGATAGATGTCCATACATAACGTACTCTGGCGCCATATAGCCACTGGCTTCCAAGTTAAATTATCAAAGAGAGTTGTTAGCAATATCAAGTGAGTGTACTTGTGCAATATATTATTCAATGAAATTTCTACATAGTCATTACTAAACACAGTTTATAAGGTTCGATAGAATCATACTTGGTACCAGCTACACGGGTATTAATATGTGTTTTATCTTCAGGGTAGAGTCTAGCCATTCCAAAATCAGCAATCTTGGGCACCCATTTGTCATCAAGTAGGATGTTGCTAGCTTTTATGTCACGGTGGATAATGCAAGTATGTGAACCTTCATGAAGATATAGCAACCCTCTAGCAATGCCAACAATTATGTCATGCCGTTGCTTCCAGCTGAGTGCATCTCTGTTAGCAGATTCTAATACAAGAATATAAGAGTCAGTACTAGCTTCTAAAACTACTAAACATCTTTCTTCTTGCTCAAAACTCGGAAAGGTTAAAAAGATTCATAAAGTAAAGAGTCTGGTTTTACTAAGACCACTATGAGAAAAATTTCTTGCTTGAAGAATTATATTATATTCGGGCTTGGAATCACAAATTGCTTCTACTGATAAGTTTTACACGAGGAAGTTAAGGTCCTCAAATGTCGTCGAATGATGTTTCAGGGTTACAGAATTCTTGAGAAGTACAAGGAGTTTCAATATCTACAAATACTACTACAACATACCCAGTGTAATCCCACGCGTGGTGTCTAGGGAGTGTATGATGTACCTTAGTGGGGAATGGGAGGCTGTTTCCGACAGAAGAAGTTTCAATAACATACTGCGGCCGCCTAAGGTTGATGAAGCTGGAATGAACACAATGGGTGGGGTACGAATCCTAGCAAAGGCAAAAAAACAAGCTATGTAGTTTCTTTTCATCTGTCTGACCCTTGGTGAACAGATTTACATGATACATGTATTGATAGGAGGATAAAAGTATTCCATGAAATAGTCGAGGTGCACACATGCTGGCCCAAACACCAAAGTTATCAAAAAAAGAAGAAAGACGACAGAAAGAACAGCCACAAGTTAGCTGCTGGATGTCAAGAGAAAATTTAATTTTAACATTATGGTCCATCACTGGAGTTCAAGGAACATTTGAGCTTAGAGTTTGTTAAGCAAGTAAAACACACGGATACAGAACAATATGACGGTCTCTAGTAGTTTCACGGACTGACACAGAGATCATTGAACTAGATTACTGACAACGTAACTGAAAGAACAAATTTCTGGACCCAATAGCAAAATGAAAATGCTTATCCCAAGGCTATTTCCAGTATCTCACTCCTAAAAAGACTGACAAGAGCATCCATCTGCAGTTCAATTTGTTTTAATCTTTGGATAGTGAAGACAAGGGCGGAGCCACAGGTGTCTACTAGTTCTGCAGATCCTGGTAACTTTGGCTCAAACCTTGTTATTGCATTAAAAAATTCATCTAATAAGTACGACTAATCTATCCAGAACTCAGTAAACAAACACAATTATGACCTAGAACACATAAACTAAAAATCCTGGCTACGCCTCTCAATGAATGTCATTTCATTTCATTTTAAAAGCACATACAAAATCTAGTAGAGCTAAGAAGATAAAAACTAGTAGTAATAAAACTTACTAAAGAGGATTTTGTCAAGGCTCTCATTAGCAACATACTCATAGACAAGCAACTTCTCTACCCCATGTATACAGTACCCTAACAAATTCACCACATTTCTGTGTTGTACACGAGCCAACAACTTAGCTTCATTCTTGAATTCCTTCATCCCTTGCCTTGAACTATGTGAAAGCTTCTTCACAGCTATTTGCCTCCCATCACTCAATTTCCCCTATAAAGAACGAAGACACAATTTTTCAAGAAATCTTGAGTTTCTGTTCAATACCTAAATCAAAAAAAGACTCAATTTTTTCAAGAAAGCCTTAGTTTCAGTTCATACCCAAATCACAAAAAGACTCAATTTTTGCAAGAAAGCTTGAGTTTCTGTTCATACCCAAATCACAAAAAGATTCATTTTCTTCAAGAATCACAAAAAGACTCAATTTTTTCAAGAAAGTTTGAGTTTCAGTTAACACCCAAATCACAAAACGACTCAATCTTTTCAAGAAAGCTTGAGTTTTTGTTAACACCCAAATCACAAGAAAGACTCAATTTTGTTGATTTTCAGTTTGTTTTTATTTTTTACCTTGAATACAGGCCCAAATCCACCTTCACCAAGCTTGTTATCTGGGTGAAAATCTTTGGTAGCAGAAACAAGAACTCCAAAAGAGAATTGCTTCTGTTCTTGTGCTGCAATTTTCTCTAAGTCGTCATTCTTCCCTTTTTTTGATTAGTCAATTCACAACAAGAAAAAAACCCAAAATCACCATTAGAACAACAAAAAAAAAAATCAAGATTAAGGGTACCCTCACAAGAATTTTTGCTTACCTTTGTTGGAACTTGAGAAAAAGGGTTTCAAAAAGTTCTCAAGAATTTTTCTGGGTTTGGTCATAGCGGGTACACAAAAATAATTAGTCCATTACAAAACTCAAGAGGACTTTGTACAAAGTATAAAACAATAGAAAATTATAACTTGTCCTTACAAATTTTAAGGTTCTTTGTTACATTAAGGAACCGTGTTTATGTGGAATTTTCAGAAAATTCAAAGGAGGGGGTGGGGTGGGGGGTGAGGTAAGCTAAAGTTGTGGTATTCATATTTTTGTATGTATTTGCTGATGTCTTTACACATGTGACTGTTGGTGCATTGCTTGTTGAAACTTGAACAAGGATGAGAATTTTTTTTATCATAAACTATAGTTCATCGGTATTAATTTATGTGACATCTTTTAGATTTTAAGAATCAACGAGTTTTTCTTCATCGTTTAAAGCTAATGATGGAAGAATGCTCTAAAGTTTTCCATAACTTGTGTGATTATTATTTCTTCCCGTATAAATTCATTTGAGTATGTTATGAACTTTAAAAAGCTCTTTTAAATCTTTCATTATACTTTGAATTTGTTTGGACATGCAATTTAAGTTATTCTATTTCTCATAAACATAAAAATAAACAAATCATAGTTTATAAACAAGGAATCAAAATATCTTGAAACAACACGTTAATAAATCATATCTTTGAAATTTTCAAATATACATAATTTGATAAAGATTATCATATCTTTATTTATGTTTATAAAATTCAGAAGCATTCTCTATTTTCTTAAATTTAGTGCTAAATTTAAAATTAAATAAATAAATTGAAACAAAGAGGGTGTATTATTTATTGATTACTCTGGCACTAATTCAGTAAGTAACACAATGAATTTAGTGTAATATGTAGCCTAATGGGCAGGAGTTTCACATGCAATTTTTTGCAAAATTTATGATTAATTGAGCACATTCTCTGTATTGAAATATTTCTAATTCTTTTCATCATAAACAAATTGAATTGATGTCCAATGAACTATATATTTTTATGACCAAAATTCAAAACCATGAATTATGAAAGTTATTTTGGCAAATCACTCATAATTAATAACTAGCATGGACTTTATATATGAACATAAGGGAAAATTACAGGTGACGGTAACATTTCAACCACTATAGGACTTTTTTTTTTCCATTTTCAAGCAGTGAAGTTTTCTTGTTATTATTACTCGTATTCCTTATTTACTAGTACTTTGAGAATTGGCCAACATTTAATATATTATATTATATATATATATATATACTTTTTTTTACAGCTGACTTTACATCCACAATGGAAATACTGGCATGTTGGACGATTCCACTTGTTGAAAACTTCCACTTTCTTTTTTTATTTTTCATTCGTTCGACACCCATATTGAAGTTCCACTAAATTCAAAACTTTACTCGTCATAATTGGATACAATAAAAAATAACCCTTGAAAATGAGTCACGTGTGTTATTGAAATTTTGCAAGTAAGAACTTTTTATTTTTCATTCGGTTTCGATACCCATATTAAAAGTTCCACTAAAACAGGAACTTTACTCGTCACAGTTGGATACAAAAAAAAAACCTTGAAAATGAGTCACGTGTGTTGAGATTTTTAAAGTAAGAGTTTTTTATTTTTCATTCAGTGTTAATATTCATATTAAAGTTCCACTAAATTTAAAACTTTACTCGTCACAATTGGATACAACAAAAAAAAATAACCCTTGAAAATGAGTCAGGTGTGTTATTGAGATTTTGAAAGTAAGAGTAAAAATATGTTAAGAGAAATCAATTAATAGTACCTGTAGTAATACTGTTGTGGCAAATAAATAATTTTGTGATAATTATTTAATGATAATGATATAATTGTTGTTATATTATATTTAATGATAATAATAATCTCTCACAAAGTGAGATAATTTTTAATGTGAATCTAGATTAATCGATATTAAACATTAACATGTTTCTTTTATGTTCTTATATTAATAATTTGCTATCATAAAAAAGGAACACATGTAAACCTAGGAAATTAATTATATCATTTTCTCAAGTTTTTGAACTTGAATCTCGACATACACATATTTTAGCGATAAGAAATATGATTTATAAATCAATATACGTTCAACCTACGTGTCGATGGATCGATCGAATACTATATTTTAATTTATTCTGTGAGTGAAATAATAAAACCGAGTAGAAATGGACCCCAAAAAGTACTTTAAATGTCTTATATATGACTTCGTCTCACATCTAGTTTTAAAGAATCCTAAATTGTTTTGCAGAATTCCTTTTTATTTGTGGTTCATTGCATTTTGATAGTATAATATAGCTTGCTTGATGTCATTTTCACTTATTAGGTGTAAAAAGTGTTTCTCAATCGATAAATTTTAAATAAATATAATAACGTTAGAACGATAAAATCTAATTCAAGAATTTTATATCATACTTTAATATGTTCGTTGTAATATTTGAAAGTGAAACAGAAAGAAAATTACAAATTATTGTGTTCAACACTTTTTGACTATTAACTTTTATTTTTAACGGAGTACTACTATAACTTATAAAAAATTTAAAGAAAGAGAATATAAAAAGAGTTAAATAGATAAAATAATGTTAATGTCGGGGACATAGAATAAGAAGACAAATAATATTTTCTTAATTTTTTCTACTTGAAAAAGGTTAAAGAAATTAAAATAATATACATTTATATAACAAAAAATTATTGTACTTTTTATCATAATAATTATGTATTTTCAAAGAAAATTAATACGTAATTTATTTTCATAGAACAGGCAAAATTTGTGCACATTGGGTTGTGTTTGATACAAATTAAAGAAAAATGTTTTCTAAAAAACAATTAATGAGTTTCTTATATTTATTTTTTATTTAAATTTGATATGTAAATAAAAAAATATTTAAATATAATCTAGATAAATAATCAGATCTCGTGAGAAATCGAACGGGCCATTAGGGTGAAAGACTCGGGAACAAATGAGAAGTTGTGGTCATGACTCTTTATAAATATTATTATATTAAATGACACGATTAAAATAAAACACCCCCCATAAGACTTTTACGCAGGAAATATTTTTATTTATAAGAAGAAAAATTTGAAGTAAACATTGAATGGGGATGATATTATTCATGTGTCAAATAAGGTATACCAAGTAGAAATTGACCAAAAAAATTTGCTATCTAGACTAATTTTGTTTGCAATATTAATTCAATTATTCCTCTTTCCTTGTGGCTCTTGACTTCTTGTATTCGATATAATGATGTCATTTTCACACTCCCTCCGGTTTTATTTATTTGATCATTATAATAATAAAATAAAAAATCTTATTATTTATTTATTTTAATAACTATTGATAAAAAAATGTTCGAGATTCAAAGCTGGCCTAAAAACAGAGAAAGTTGATTTGATTTTGGCTTGCCCCATTTTATCTAATTCACTGAATGGGTAAGTCGTCAATTTTTTAAACATGTAATATACTTTATTTGTTGGATTATAAACGGACATCATTGCAAATAATTACTTTCTCTATTTTAATTTATATGACATAGTTATTTTTTTTAAATATAAAAAATATTTAGATGTAGTAGAACATTGGAGGAAAAACCTTAGTAACCAAACTTAGAAAACAAAGAAAGAAAATTATCGATAAACTTCAATATTCTAATGAAAATTAGCTCAAGAACCACTTCAAATTTTAGAAAAGGAACTCCATAATGGAAAGTGTATATTAACATATTAACACATGTCATGTTTTATTATAAAATAAATTAAATAAGCTTCTTTCTGTTCTTCTTTTAAAAATGTGTTTCTAATTTTAATTGCACTAGAGACTAGTATCATTGTCAATTCACGTGTATGGAATAAAAATAAATCAGCCCAAAGAGAAGAAAACATTTTTTTTAATAACTGCGATGACCAAGTTGGTTGAGTAGACGATTATTCAGATTGGAGGATTCAAGTTTAAATTTTATTTTATATGTTTTCTTAGTCGAATACTTGAATTTGTCGCACATGAAGTTTGTTTGATCCAAACTATTACATTGAAGTGAAATTTACTTGTGCACAATCAAAAATAAAAATCGCGGATTCACTTGTCAACAACAAAAAAATAACATCTTATGGTGGTACCATATTAAAAATATAATAATTACTTTTTCATTAAATAAATTTAAGAATATTTTCAAATCATTACCTTAGGGAATAATGTAGCCTGTGTGACAGCCAGACAGGTTAAAATATGTTTTTTCTTAAAAAAAATATTTATTTCCTTATTTTTTTTAAAATAAAAAATTGTTTGTTTTCTTCTTGTTTTCATACAGGTGGAATTTTTATATCTTTTAATAGATAAAGGTGGAATTTCACTTAAATTAGAATGTAGGTTTCTGTTATGAGTTATGATCTTTGAGTTTCCGTTTTATTTATTTTATCTCGAAATATGATAGCTTTAGTTCAAAATCAACTCTTCACTTTAATTATTAGAATGGAGTCCATTCAATGGACCTACGGATCAAATTCACACTTTACAAAGTTTCTTTTATATGTAAAAAATAACAATTGACCCCAAAACTTGTCTCACAATTCATGAATATTTTTTAAAAAAAATGTCTTATATGACTTTTTCTCCAATCGAATTGAAGATTTCCTATTTTTTCCCTTTTATTTTTCTTAGTTTTGTTTTTCAATATTCAACTTTTCCTCTTTAGTAATTTGTGGTCCATGTATTTTGACAAAATATATTGATGTTATTTTCACATTTTTCTTGCTCGTGCAGAAAAACAATCATTAGATGAGTTAGTGAAAAATATATTACTTTTTTTTATAAGTGAATGTATTAAAAACAAATACAAGATTAGCAAAATGAAGAGAGTATTAGAGATAAAAAAAATTATATCTAAGTTTTGATTAATACAAGTTTAGAGTTAAGATAATTATAAAAAAAATAACTTCCACCCATAATTAAGTGAAAGAAATCATTTTCCTTGGTGAAAATCTTTCTATGAAAATGACTTTCTTATTACCAATTATCAAAAAATGATTTTCTTCTCTCCTAACAAACACACGTACGTTTTTGTTTCACTTCTATCAAAGAAATAAAAAATAAAAATTCACAAGCTCAATAACAAAGTCAGTGCTTGTTGTCCATATATTTTTCTAAAAATTATATCAAAATATTTTTTATTTTAAAAATTCAAGACAAAACTAATTATTACTC